GTGTGTGTGTGTGTGCACAACTACCGTTTTGATCAATTTTCGTACTAGAAAATAAATGCTAGCTCTAAGAGCTATAGAGATATGATAGATCTCTCTAGAGCTCAAGCTTTAGTCTGTTGTTGTTGTTGTTGTTCTAATGCATGTGCAGTGACTTCGTAATGACGTGAAATGAATTTGTGTGTTAAGATCATTGTAATTAGCATCTATAGTATGAGCGTTCTTTAATTGCAAGATGATGATTCCACTCATCAGTTAGTCTCGTTATGATTTTTCACGAACTGTATTATTTGAAATTGAAAAGTACGCAGGATATCTAATAGAGTGGATATCAACAAGAGAGGTAGTCTAGTTGAGAATTTTCATCGAAGGACCATTGTAGAAGCGATTGTTTTTGTTATTAAGGATCCCCCCCTTACAAATTAACTCCAACAGCGTACATACGCTCTTGACGAAATTTTGCACAAATGTCAGGGACACTGAGTTACGGGAATGAATTTTTTTTGTCTTCAAGTCTTATCGTTTAGAAGTTTTCCAGAGGTCAAGGTTCACGAAAGGATGCTGAGGTATTTTCGAAGATGTTGTAATACATTTCAGCTAGAGAGTGCGGGTTTGTTTTAGGTTAAACTAGGTGTCTAACTGTATAGATTGATCGGTGCCGATGTTGCAATTAAGCCATTATTCTTTATGTAGGCCACGAACAACCTCAAAAACCCGAAAAATACTTCTTGGTTATCTAGAAAACCTCAATTTAACAAAAAATCAAGGCCTAGTTGGAAATCGGCGTTGGTCAGCCTAAGTAGTTAAGTGTGTAGTTTAAAGTAGAGCTGTCTAGCTAGGAATATATTAAAAGGTCTTGTGAAGTAATTCAGGTGTAACTCCCATGTAGAGAAAACGCACTGTATTAAACACTATAAAGTGCTCAATTTTAGCACTTGTAGGAAAATGGTTGTTACTTTTTGACGCAAGGTCATTCAGAGTTGTGCAAGGTCTTATTTTTATCAGAAAAGTTTGCTCTACAAATCTACGCGTTCAGAAAAAAAGTTAATTACATAAGTATCCAGGAAAAAGCTATTGTTTGAAGACTCGGTTTTCGAGGCTCCTAGAAATCTTGCTCGAAAGCCGCGGAAAATCACTTCTGTAACCGAAAGCGATACAGATTCTGTAGTAGACATTTCAACCTATCTTTCCATGTGCTTATCTCAAAAGCGATCTTTTTGACCGAGAATCAGCATTTCTGAAGGGGGCTCTTAAGAAGTTTTCGGTACATAATTTCTTTAGGATACTAGATTAGCACTCTCATACATATTTGTTGCTACTTGTTAGTCGGTTTTCTGAAAAAACGAAATTTTCGCATGTTTTTGTCGGCTTAAAAGCTACTGGTAATAGCGTCGCATGAAACCCTGTCGACTGATGTGAGCAAATTCAAGCAAGGTGCTCTGACTGACCTTAAGAAACTAATTTTTTTCAATGCGTTGTTTCTTTTTATTGCAATCAACATTTGCGATATGAACAGTCCAATTAAGTTATAGTTATAAATTGTAATAAAGAAAAATCAAATGTCCGTGAAGGTTACCCACTGTAGAGTAATGTTACAGCAGTGTGTGTCGAATGCCTGATGAGTTTATGTGTAGTTACAACCATAATGTTGTTAGTTGCGAATGTAAGCGTGTCACTATGTCGCATGGCAAAAGCGTTGCGCACTCAAAAAGCCAATATAAGTTTATTCCGAATAATTCGTAACACATCAATTTAATTTACAGGAAAGTAAAACCTATAGACATAATGTGACTTCTGTACAATATTCACAAAAAACAAGTACTTTACACTCCTCTCTTCCTACTAGTACTAGTAAATTTGTAATTTTTCAAAATTTAATGTTGTACTAACAAGCCCATTATTTTCATCATTGGGGTTTTTATTTATATTTTTTGGTGATGCTTTATAAGCTTCACTTAATTGTTTCATTAGCAAAGGTGTTGATAATTGAGGGTTTGATTGTTTAAATTTATGAAAATTTTCTTTAACAAATAAATTATATTTATTCGGTGTACGTAATGGTTGATCAAGTTATTTTGTTTGAATGATAATTCCACTTTCACCGTTACTACTCACATTTAATTTTCGACTTTTAACATTCATTAACAATTCAAATTTACTCATACAACGGCCGCAATGGTCAGAATCAATGTTCAAAGATTTTGTATGACGAGATACCCTAGAAAGCAAAAACAGAACTTAGAAGTTAAAGAAAGAGATTAAAACACCTTGTAGTACGCTGTTTGGGAGAATGGTGAAAGGACTCGATGGTCACAGGGTTCACTGGCAATCTTTTACCTCCTTGTAGCATCAAAAACTGTTCATAAACGCCCAAAAAGATCTCATTTTTCGAAGAATTTTAGACACTGTATTGATATCGAATAACTTACTCATATTTACAGTTTGTACAACGATAGATGTATTTATAAAATACTTTATATGTGTGCGTCACTTTAATCTTTGGTAATGTGGGATAGATTTTTGCAACTAATTTTGTCCTAGAAAGAATAAATGAAATTAGACATAGTAGCATTGTTGTAAAAAAGCTCTTACCAATTTTGCCACAATACACCATGATTATGGGCAAAAACATTATCGATTAAAAATACTGCTGCATGGCATAATTCATGAATTAATGTATCACGACATCGTTCAGGTGTGTCACACACTTTTTCTGATAATGTTATCAGTACATCTTTCACGGAGTTTTTGGTTGAACAATGACCAGCTGTAGTTGTTAAACGAGAAGTTAAAGAAACTTGATAGAGTAACAGTCAAAAACGGTTAGAAGATGCATTTCTGATTGTTTAGAATATTCCGCATTTTGATTTTCGCTCATCCCTCAATAACTTCGCATTTTTTATCGAAGGGTCTGATAAAATCATTTTAAGATTCAATCAAACTTTTGTATTTGATGATGTAGAATAGTCGAACTCTAAATAGTGCGAATGGCACCTTATTACTATTATTACTTTATTCATTATTTATTACTTTAATTACTTATTATTTGGAATTGTAAATCAAAGCCCGGAAGATTGAACTCATTACTCCCTATTTCAAAAGCATTTTTTTTGGTACTCTGGCAACCTTATCTTCGAAAGATTTACGTGGTACACTGGGATCAGAAAAGCTCTTATCTTATGTCTTGAAGTCTTGGCTACACAAAAGTGAAAATCACAACTCTATTTCTTTTTATTCGGAAGTTATTAAGAAAATGAGCGAGGACACGTTATGGAACAGATAGTAGAAATCGTGTAAATACCAGAACAAAATCTGGTAGTGATAATTGTTCTGAAATACGTTCGTCTGTTTGTCTTAAACATATTGTACTAACGTCTAATGTTTTACTTTATATTCGGAAGAGGAAACTTCGCAAGGCATTGATAAGGAATCATCCTTATCATCAGTGACAGTTTGACGGATTTTAGCAGAGGCAAAAACCAAAAATATGACTGTTTTTTGAGTCATTTATGCAGTTAAATAGATTATACATAAGAGGTTCACTTTTTGGTGGTAGTCCAAAATCCTCGTCGTGATTATCAGATGTGATTCTTGTTGTTGTTCTTGCCGTTAGAAAAACTATTGATCTTTCAGCCGGATGTTGAACCGCACTTTTAAACATTGGGCATGGATCATCACTCTGTGCAGAAGCCGTGTATGATCTCAGATTATCCGACATAGGGGACAATAGCGAGCTCTAGCACCATGTCTCGCCAGTTTCACTCGCAAAGCATCATGCCAAACCCTGTCAAAGTGTCAAATGCAGATAAAAAATCCCCACATAGCAAGAGACTGTATCGGTTGGTTGGGAGAGACATTCGGACTTGTTCAGAAATGGATAAAACGCGAGTCTGAAGACAAATTTCTGGTTGAAAGCCGAACTGAACGTCAAGAGTCAGCCTCTTGCGTCTCATCCAATTCTGAAGTCGTGGATGAAACGCCCTCTCGCACAACTTCCCTATGGCATTCAAGAAAAGAAAAATGGGTCTTAACTCACTAACCGAAGGAAAATGACCGTTTTCCGATAAGAAAAAAAGACAAGCAAGTTTAAAACAACTCGGAGACGAATTATACATAAATAAGCGATTAAACAAAACCTGTGTTCAAAACCTTGCGTAATTCACTTTGTACTTCTTCTTTAGTCTCCTTCAGTAATTTCTTGACTGGAAAAGAAAATGTTCGTGATAATGGTCAGACAGTCATTGGGCGGGATCTGACAAAAGTTCATTCTCGAGTGTTTAGCCTTTTATCGGCGGTGCATTTGTTGAAAATGTTTTGTTGTGTATTTCCAAAAATAAGATACATCGAGAGAAGAACAATGGTTTAAAAATTCAAATATTGCTGCGTTCGACGATTTTCGACTGAAGTAGAAACGTAATGTTGCTGCTCGAAATAAAAGTCGTTAGTCTCAACTGCTTTTCATGTGGTACGATAATACTTATTTCGTAGTTTATAAAGACTTAAAACCTCGTTTTTCCAATAACCGGATGGAAGTGATCGGCGATACAAATAGGCATGCACCGGTTTCGGTTAACCGAAACCGATCATAACCGAAACCGAACATAATAGAAACCGATCATAATAGAAACTGATCAAGACGGTCTTGCTTGACAAGGCCGGCTTTGTAAAAACTAAATTTTATTTTCTTGGTATTTTTTTCAGCCAAGTGAAGAAGGAAAAATAAATATTTCAACAAGGAATTCAGTCGGTTTAGATATATGCGTAAGAAAGCATAGAAAAGAACAAAAGATGAACAAAATGAAGTATATTTTGATCAGCTGGTAACAGAAACGTCTAACAATATAGTGATGTCAGAAATAAAGTACTAGGTTTTCGTTTAACAAAACCAAAAATATATCAGACAACAAACAGATAGTACAAGGTTAGAAAAGAATGATAGTCTGCTGCTGTTATAATGATATTGCGTTAATCCAACCTGAGTTATATGACCTCTTCCAAAAGCAACGTTGAGACTACGTCTTCTTCACCCGCTTCTATCCATTATGATCGGTTTCGGTTATTCGGTTAAAAACCGAAACCGGTGCATGCCTAGATACAAATCGACAGGAATAACGCGAAAAACAAGAGCTAAAAGAGAACCTAAATACTTCCGCAAATTCTTCGCTGGAAATTTGATAAATTAGATGATTAAAGTAATAAATAATACGTAAATGAATGAATTTATTTTGTAAAGAACACATGGAAATTACAAGAAAGCTAATGCTTATTTAAATGTAACACCAGATAAAATAAAAGCTCATACTCACACACACGTAAAACTAAAGTAAAGTAAATTAAAGTAATAACAATTAACAAACAAGTTTTCATAATATCAAGCACTATGGTATAGATTCACTACAAACGATACCACGTGACGATTAATTATCTGATAGGTAAAACGATAGAGTTTTCTAAGAAATATACTCATTTTGTACCACTGATTATAGGATAACTAAAGCAAATATCCGAAAACTAACGATAGTTGTGTTATGTACGACTCTTCTACTTTCGAATCATCTTTTTCTCAAATCTGTACGATCAGACATAACCGAGAACGGTGGGCAGAAAAAACGCTCTCGAGGTGTAGGGAAAGAACTAGATGCCAACTACCCTACGGGCAGATTGGAAACCCTACCGAGTGAAACATATCTTAGAAACATTTTAGACATCGCTTGGATCCCTTAAATACGATTAGAACACTGCAGTGCTCTAGTAGTAAACATATGATGCATTCTATTGGTAGTAGTTTCAGACTATGAATGCATCAAACTATGCAGAAGTATAGACTGATAAGTAGCACGTGACTACTTAGTGAATCACTCTACACTATTCACACTGAAGTTTTATATAGTTAAGATGAAACACTATGTTCACTCAATCGGCTTAATAACAAGATATCATTAGCACTATTTAGAGTTCGACTATTCTACATCATCAAACACAAAAATTTGATTGAATCTTAAAATAATTTTATCGGACCCTTCGATGAAAAATGCGAATTTTAATTTACAACTGTTTCTCTCTTGTAGGTACATAAATTCAAATATATTTGCAATCAAGAAGAAAAAGCTGATACATAATGCTAGTTAATGTCAACTTAATATAGTTTAATGGTAGGGTGAGGGTGGGAGTGTTTGACAATTAATAATAAATCGAAGAAGAAGAGAATCAAAACAGAAAGAAAGAAAAGAAAAGACTTCCCAGATTTTTGATTTTTTAATGTTTTTGTGTACTGAGAGAAGCACGAGAGATGAAATTAAGCGCAAGGGACAGAAAAAGAATGTTACTTGAATAAATAATATTGAAAAAAGGTTTTTTGTAATTTTTGTTTTTATTTTCAATAGAAAAATATATATTTTGTAAAAACGACGAGGAATTTAAAAAAACAGAAAATGGAAAGTGTACTCACCAGAATTTAAACGCGTTTCGAATTATCTTTATCAGTAAATGCCTTTTTTCATTATTATTTATTGAAGCAACTATATCTAGTCATCTAACTGTAACCACATAAAATAATAAGTTGTTAGTAAACTTATAGTCAGTCCTTCAGGTTCATGAATAGATACGATACTTTTATCAGGTATTGCATATCAACATTTCTAATAAACTATGGTAAAAAATACAGACTTCAGAATTGAATTGTCGATAGTCGATTTTATAGTATGGCACTATTTTTGGAATGACTACATGTCAAAGAGTTTAAACAAAGCAAAAGCTTCGAAAAGCTCAAATCAAGAATCAAACATGAATCGTCAATGTTATGTAACACTGCACTAGACTATCTGAACTGTTACCTCTGAACAATTTAAATTCATAATCATGTTAAGTACAAGGATAATACGAAAAAAGCATTTGGCTCAACTTTTAGTCTTAAAGATTCGACTATGTACATACGTTTGAATGTCATTTATTAAAACATTCTTAGTAATCCTTGTCTAGTATAAAGATATTCTTGCTCGAGATAAATTATCGAGAGTACAAAAATGTGTATTACACACGTTTAAATGTAGTAAAAAAACAGGAGCGTTAATAATACCAAAAATAAGCCGTTATTGTAATGACCGATTGGTGCATCGCTATGTGTACTTAATTGATTTACTGCTGTAACATTTTCCCCTTCAGATATCGTTGTGACTAATGGCGTTGCTATTGGCACATTTGACGTCAGAATTGTAATCTCGTCGTTTGTTGTAATTACGGCAAAATCAGGCGTTGTTAGTTGACTTTGAAACTCGACGAACTCAGCAAATTCTTTCCATTCTTGGATATTTGATTGAAAATTTGTGTGCATTTCGCTCATTGTGACATCATTTGTAATTAAAATATCGTAAACACATTGGCGTTGAATCACTGTCGATTTAAGATGATAACAACTCTCTTCAGCCGTTGTAAATCGAGACGTATTTTGATATTTTTGGAATAGCTTTTGTGTAAATGTTGGTCGATATGTCACATTTTGATGATTAGCGTGTTTATCATTACTCAAATAGTAGAAGATAGACGCTCGCTCGATCGTTCGCCACGACTCACTAAATTTGAAAATAGCCTGTTCGCTACTATCCGAGTCAAGAATGGTTCCATTAGGAAAAACTAAATCATTTCTCTTGTTCATATCCATATTTCCAAGTAAACCCTGATATTGTAAATGTGGTGGTAATAATGCAAGTAGATTTAAAAAATCATATTGTTCGCAGATATGAATAATAAAACTGATATTATTTGCAAAGGTTATCTTGTATATGGTTAGATTCGATTTTGTTAGCAAGAATTGGTCATTGTCGAAATTATTCGTCGAAGGCAGAATTGGAGCTCGATCCAAATCTAGTAGACGACTGTTCACCCTTATTTCAGTGGTATTTAAAGATGGGAATAACTCAAACTGCACTGTCGAAAAGTTCGCATTTTTTATAATAAATGCCATAATTGCTGTTGCACGATTGCTAGCTGATTCAGCATCGACTGGTTCTAGTCTCACTTGTACTTGTAAAACGGTTGTTTGAATAAGAGTGTATTCTCCGTATCCGTTGAACGTATAGTTAAAACTGTCAAGTGTCGTGAAATGGGGATCACAATTGCCACCGGTCGGACGTGGTGGTGTCGGATTTTCACACTTACCTGTGGTTGACGGTGGACGTTTACAAAAGTAATTGCCACATAAAGTCGAGGTGATCTCTTTGCAACAGGCTTCAAATGGTAGAACATCGTCTATGAAATGACCGAAATACTGACCAATGTTGAGGCCAGAACCATAATATTTATCTATAGTTCCGGCACCCTTGAAGGGATTATCTTCCCATTGACCATTATCTCGATAGCAACATTGTGCTCCAGCACCAGAAGACTCGTAACCGGCACGATAACAGCCTTTAGCGCCTTTGTGGTATGTGCAGTCTGGTGCCGAAATCGGATTACATGCACCATTCTGCTCAAATATAATATCGAATTCTGTGAACTCTTTATCGAAACTCGGTTTAACTTCACACGGACATGGAGGTATATTATATGTAGATGCGCTTGGAATAGGCTGTCGATTCGTCCACCGAATATAAAAGTCTGCATTTAGTGAATTTTTATAATACTTATAAGCCATATGTCCACTAGCACGACCGCAAGAACGCCAAAGAGCACTCCTGTTCAAAGTATTCATAATACACGTGTTGATTGTACTTTAGATAGTTCAAAGCTTATTGTTATCATGTGAACTGTATTATCAACACTGTCAAGTTTATCAATACTCAGAACGTACTTGTAATCGACTGTATAGTTTCCAATTTCCGTTATATTAGCTTGTGTATTTAGTTCAATATGTCTAACCGTTAAATTGGTGGGTAATGTCTCATTTATGATGACAGCTCGATAATCGTATACTACAATATCAAACAGATAATTCAATGTTAACGGATTATTTTGAAATATTAATGTAATCGTCGTGTTTTCATTGTGTCTAACGATCTATTGGTTTGTCCAATTCAGCAGAATTAACTAAAATTAATTCTAAATATTCTTCTGGCTTCAATGAAATAAATTCAGTTGTACCGCTGAGCTTACTATTACTGTCGAATGCCTTTACAGTGTTTTTTCCGGCATTCAGAAGCATTGGCATAATGCACGTAATGTACACCGACGCTACTTCACAGAAGTCGATTGTCTGTTCCTCAATCATTACTTTGTACGTTGTTTCAGTAAAACCAACACCGTGAACTCTAACATCATATCCATCAAAAATGGATCCACGAAATGGTGTTGTTAAGAGACCTTCTTTCGTATTACAGTCGGCATTTGCAATTTGCCCTGCTGTATCGAAAATAAATTGGCCAGGAACGTTGACGTTCGAGTCATTTATTATTGAAGAAATTTGAGACGTATAGGATTTTGGTAACACATAGAATCTTTTTCCATCACCTGAATCAAATCCTACTTGGGCATATTGTTGTGGTCTCTCGGGATGATGACCAAATGCCCAGTCGAGCTTGTAGATGCGATACAGACCAAGCTTCTGACGGGAAATGGTCTCGGTATAAAATTGAAATTAAAATGCGTCTGAGTGGCAAACAATATGAGACCGTTCGTTTGCAGTTTGATGTCATCAAGGCGAAAATCGAAAAATGGGAACCGAACTGATGTATAGACGGGTGATGAGATATTTTCATCACCGCGAATCAATGTCAAATCACCGTAGTCTTTTCCAAATGGTAGAAAATTTGACACTAATTCGCTTCGCACTGCTTCATAATAATAAAGAATATATAATAGTATTAACTAAATAACAGCTTTCATGTACCAAATGTCTAGAAACTTTTAGACTGATAAATTCTTAGTTGATCGCTGTTGTAAACAATATTTCCTCGAAAAACCACTTATTTAGAGAAACGGTTTCAAATTTTGACGCCAAAACATAATATTTCATCACTGACCATTGAACATTTTCTGAATTTTTATAATACTTATAAGCCATATGGCCACCTAGCACGACCGCTGGAACACGAAAGAGCACTCCTGTCCAAAGTATTCATAATACAAAAACATATTTTTAATGTGAAATTTGTCACAACATTCATAACAGTTTTGATCTTCATGCAAAATGAGCTTTATTATAGGTTTTTTAAATAAACGCCAGTGCGTACTACGCATAGAAAATTAGATCCATTGTAGTTGTTAGAGCTAAAAAAAGTAACGTTCTGTCAACAACAAAAACGTTTCAAATTCGGTGCTTTTCATTTATACAGATTCTCATTATGGCGGAAGTAAGCTCTTCTCTCGTGATTTAATAGGCCCTTTTTTCGGAAGTAGCATCGGAATGACGAAAGTAAGCATTCAGACAACAATAGATGACACAAAACACACATTATGCAATTAGAACACAAGGTCCAGATTCTTTTATTAACACGGCAATTTATGCATGCTTACTTGCATGACATCTGTTTTGTGTCATCTATCATTGTTTGAATGATTACTTCCGTCATAATGAGAATCTGTATGAATGAAAAGCACTGAATTTGAAGCGTTTTCGTTGTTTACAGAACGTTCTTTCGTATTTGACTTTTGGTCAGCTGAGTGATTATTGAATTCTAAAAAAAGGTGGTTTACTTAGCCTGATAGTTTGAAGAATATTTTCTTCTGTTAAATGTTATAGAAAAGTTCATTAGAATTTGAGTAAGTTCGTTATTATACAAAAAAAATTTAACTCTTTGCAATAGAAAGAACATTCAAAAAGAGAATTATAAGGAAATTTTATTGCTTAGTGAAAAATAGAAATTTGGAAAAGAATTTTGTCAATGATTGAGTTTTCCTTCTCCTTTGATTCACGGTACAATATATCTTTGTGATCTTAAGTGCTGTTAATGATGAATAATCTTTTAATTTCTAATTTCTTTGTTATCGGTACATCTATCTCGCGTGACCGGGCAGGTTGGACTATATGTTACTTTTGAGTCAATAACATTAACACCTTTATATACTCCACCAACTCCTGATTGCTCTACTATTGTTCCATCAGCATATACGACTTTTAAATGTGTTGTATATGGTACCTCTATTGTTCCGGCTATCACTACCATTGTTGCTGTTTGATATGATTTTGGTGCCACATTAGTTTTAAGTGTCCGTTTAACTGTTTCCTCTTTTGTCTCTGTTTGACCATACTTATAGCTAAAACTAGTTTCAGCTCTAACAGTTACTTGGTTTGTTGCTATTACAGGTATACCAGCTGAAAATTTAATTTCAGTACCAACTGTTAATCCGACATTAATCTCCCATGATTTCGAAGTAAAGGCCTTTGTTTCTAGTTCTGCACTAACTTCCTGTTGTACATCAGCACAATTCGTAACATCATGTCGAATAATACTCTGTGGCTGTAAACCTGCGCTTGCTATAGCGTGGTCTAATTGATATTTTATTTGTGTCGAAACATATTGAACGTCTGATGTTATCCAATGAAACTGAATGCCTGTTAATAATTCATCTCGTTTAAAACCACTAATATAGGATAAATGAAAGCCTTTATATCGTTCAGTATATAGTTTGACACGAGAGTCGTTGGTATTGACACGAAGACCATACGACATTTCCTTTCCTGTATTTGTTGTAAATTTAATGTAATGAATCACCCAGTAACGCTCTTTGAACAAGTGAGTTCTAACTTCAACTCCTGTAATCCGATCTTGAGATTCCAATTCAAACGTGTGTGCCTTACAATTATCGTAAACGCGACCATGTTCTGGACCTTGAATTATTCCACCTGAACTACTTTTGTAAAAGAATTGTATCGTACATGGTATATAAAAATTTGCTTTCACTACAATTCTGATTGGGTAAGTTAACCCGACTGTACCAACATGAGATGCATCGTTAAACATTGTTGCACAGTCAGGAAAACCACTCGGCGTAGCAATAATCAAAGGAGAAGAATATGCACCTAAAAGTGTATACATTTACATTTTATTCGTTATCTAAAGTTTTTAATCATGACTCTAAAAATTTAACGAATAAGCTTTCTCAATCACACTTCTAACAGCGTAATCTGGCCCAATACCGAATGATAAGATATTTCGATAAATAAGCTTTTAAATAAGTCACTTCAAATGTTATGAGAATCACATTTTTCATGACTTACGGGGGAAATATCCCCAAATCGCTTTCTGGTGATACACTTTTTTGTGCGATAACTTTTGACGTTGATTACAGATTTGATATTCATTCATGCTCTCAGGCCTCCCTTTGATGGTTCTCTCAAGAAAACCGGATCTCTAAAGATCCACTATGAATTCTCAGCTGAACAGATTCGGCAAGTGTTAGATTGTAGAGTGCATCAGGTTACCTATGTGGAAAATGTTTATGATCTAACGAACGAGTTTTAATAGAAATAAAAAAACTTTCTAATCCAATACGTCGGCTCTTTCAATCGTATCCTGTTGTATACGCAAACTGTTGTATCCCTGCTAAAATTCGTTCGTTAGATCACAAATCTTTTCCACATAGGTAACCTGATCTGCTCTACAATCTAGCACTTGCAGAATCTGTTGAGCTGAGAATTCATAGCGGATCTTCAGAGAGCCGATTTTCAGAAAACCATCAAAGGGAGGCTTAAGAGCATATCCGTGATCAACGTCAAAAGTTATCGCACAAAAAGTGTCTCTATCAGAAAGCGATTTGTAACTTGGGGTACTTCTCTCGTTAGAGCTTAGTTTTCTTCTTGTCATGTACATCATCTGACCATGGGCGATAACATTGATCACCATCGAACACTATTCAGTAGTGAGCTGTGAGAATAAGCAAGCACCATATCAGCACCGATCTATGTGAGTATCTGGATTTCAGAGTCTAATGTGCATGACGGGGTGGAGTTATAAGCTTAATTTAGCATTCTTAAAGGTGGAAGAGTGTACTTATTTAGATTTGCCTCAAACTTCTCCCGTTCGTACAATACACTTCAAAGTATATATCCTGAAATCTTTTCGTCTTGCGCACATCATCTGCTCGAGAAAAAATTAATTTTCGTGTCCATTTCCTGTTTATCGTAAAGATTTGGCTTGAGCGTAGAAAGACAGAGAAGTAAATGCATTCAATTCGCTATGTAAAACGCGAAAAAAACTATTTTTCTGTCTTTTCTTTTATTTGCTAATTAGTGTCAATCGACATTAATTCACACTTCTCTACCCGAAAGAATGCATTACATGTATACATTAGTTTACCGGCAAGTGCTTCTACGAAGAAGCTCATTGTCACACCATCCACATTCCATCCACATTCCACAAACTTATGTGTTGATCCAACTTTAAGATCTGTACCTAAAACGTACATCTTCCGCTTTGTGGAATTAAGAATACAATCAGCACCAGAAAGACCAACACCCAAGTAGTCGTCAATTGCGACGAACAGACTGCATTGCCCGTCTGGTTTGTTTGGTATAATAAATGTTTGTAGACCAAGACCCGAAGGTAGTTCATTAGATGGAATTTGATATTTACTTATTATTTTATGATCAGTGTGACTAATCGTATAAATAAAAATAGATGAAGAACGACCTTGTAATACCTCATGAAAGAATATTTGAATCGTTCGTACGCAACCAGGAGTCTTAGCTGCGTCGACTTTATTGAACACCGTGAATCCGTTAACCTTAGCAGGCTTAAGATGCCCGTGCTGACTCTCACGGTTAACCTCAACAGAGCCATATTGGAATCCTAAACAAGAAACAAAAAAAAATATTATTAATAAAAGTGTAAAAGGAAAGGATCATTCAGTATCAAAGCTAAAAAGCGTAGTTTCAAAAAGCTCCTCTATGGAGAAAACTTCAATTATAGTATTATTAACATTTGAGCTTAGGATTCCTAAATTTTTTAAACATCTTTTTTTGTATTCAACCTGATGATAAAATACTGTACAGCATGCAAACCGCTTATAGTATACTGTTAAAAATTTATTTTATTATATATTAAAGAGGAAGCCCCTTTTTAATTTTTAAAAGCCTTAATAAAAAGTAGAAGACCCTATGACTTCCAGGAACGACATTTTTGTTTTACAGCATTTGTGAAAAATATCACAGAAAAAGGAATCCACATCGGCCCATATTCCTCTTTTAATGATACTGACGTTTCCTGAACCAAATATGTAATTCCATCATACTCTGATAAACTAGACGTATATAGATTTCAAAAGTATTATTTCTAAAAATAGCTAGATTTTAATGGATGAATTAGTGTTTTGTGATCCTCGTGCGATTATGATACGATTTTCAAACAATGACCGTTGAAACACTTTTAGAATAATTTATACAAACAAAATCATATGCCATTAGAAAGGTAATAATTTTCTATATTGAAGTATTATATGCAGGGTCTTCAATCGGAGGTAAGCCGTCGCTAATTACAGCACGCGAAATATATTGTAACGTTACATTTCAAAAATAAAATACTGTATTTCTTCCATTTATGTTTGACAGGATGAACTCTTATACTCCATGCCGTTGCATAATATTATCCTTTATTGTCAAGTTATACTATTTTGACAAAAGCTTGATGTTCGGTGGTCAACTACAATTTATATTTTTAAAATTCCAGAGAAAGGACTGCTAAATACGGTCGTTATAAATCTGAGTAACTTGTTCCTCTTTTAATTATCTGGATGAAAGGTCAAAACTTTTTCTTAGAACTCTAATGAAAACAATGTAATGAAACGTTATTTTATCTTGTATCAAAATGAAGAACTATCTATGCTGATCCCAATGACGTATAAAGTAATCCCGCACACAAATTACAACCATTTCATTGAGACTTATCTGTTGCTTCAAAAATGTTTCTTGTTCAAATTTTGGCTTCTGAGATAGCAGACTAATTACCTTTTCGTGATGTTTTTTATTTCTCACATACCGGTTCTTTGAAAAATTTTAATTTTAATAATAGAATCGCAACAAAAACGAGATTTGAAACAAGCGGAAAACGGTCCTTTGTTGTTTCCGCTATTGAACAAGCGTCTTTCTTTGAAGCCTCTAACCACCCCACAGAAATACAGTAAAATGTTTTATGCCAAAAAGTTATATGCAATACCTAGAAGCACTTTAGAAAGAAATAGTATTAGTAAATTCTGAATTGTGAGAGTATAATGCTTAAAACTTTCCTCCTAGACAATCTAATTCTGTTACTAGATGATGATCTTAGTGAACATTTTTTTAGTCATAATCTTGACTTCAAGAAATGCAAGAAATTTTTTCATGGTGAACTAATGAAATCTGAGATAACCAGAAAAAAAATTTTCAATTGAAGAAAAATTCCTTCTGAATCTCTGAAAAGCTTCGCTTAAAACAGCTGATACGCTGATTTCATCATGTTTTACCTAGTTTTCTCTTCAGGAACTCGTAGCCAGGAGTTGAATCCGAAACGCTTACACAGCAATTTTATTTCTGCATTCCCACTTACCCTCTAAATCCTTTCAACTCGTAGTATAAACTGTTCTATCCTTTTATGATAATTCATGATTAAATTTTTGGATCTACGAAAAATGGTCGAAAGAAAAAAGATCGCCGCGAAAAATGGTCGCCACGAAATATGACCGCTAGGAAGTATAGTCGCTACGAAAATTAGTCGAAAAATTTGTAATAAAAGATGAAAAGCTTTTTTTGAAGAAAAGACTTTCATTGAGACGAATAAGTTAAACAGATACAAAAAAAAAAGAACAGACCGAAGTTACTTAGGAATCTGTTGATTACTTCAAAGGAGCAGATATTTCTCTGTTCTCAAATTATTAGTCAACAATGACGTAATAATGCATCAACATGCACCAAATAAGAATCAGCAAACATATCAACGTCTTATTATTGAATTAGCAGAACTTTGTCCACTATGGAATCCCAAATCCATAATCACAGATTTTGAGAGAGCTGCCATTAATGCATTCGCAGGTAGTTTTACAACGACAACAAATCCTTCAACAATGACGGGTTGCTTTTTCCATTTACAAAAAATATTAACGTAAAGTTCAAGTGAGTAATTAAATCTGATAGATAATTCAAATATTCACACTTCATTTCTTCTCTGTAGGAATTGGGTTTTAAAACAAACTATGAACAAGATCCTGTATTTGCACATAATGTCAGTAAAATTGCTGCTCTTGCATTTCTTCAACCAGCAGATGTTAGTCAAGGTTTTGACGATCTTTATAATTCATCACCACCAATACTTCATCCACTACTTGATTACTTTGAAGACACTTATATAGGCAAACAACGGTCACAAGGACGATCCAAATCTATGTTTTCAGTTGAATTCTGGAACATGCATCAACGAACAACTGATCTTTCAATGCGCATGAATAATTCAGTTGAAGCTTGGCATCGTCGTCTTAACTCAATCATTCAATGTCAGTATCCTACCCTTTGGGCTTTCATTGAAAGTCTACAGAATGAAGAACATTTTATTTATCGTCAATTGATTAAGCTTAATTCTGGTCAAAAAGTTGAACCAAGTAAAAGTATTTAAATTATAGTAAACGTTTGCTTCATTTAATCACGCATCCACATCTAACATTACTACAAAAATTAGAAGGACTTGCTCATAATTTATAAACTCTATACTTTCCTTTTTGTACCTGTCTAACTTATTTGTCTCAATTATCAGTTTCGTATAACATCATTGTATTAATATAATTAGTGTGAATTTTACCTTTACACTTGACATTCGAGCTTTTGTTTAAAAAAACTTTTCATCTTTTATTACAAATTTCTCGACTAATTTTCGAATCGACTATATTTCCTAGCGGTCATATTTCGTGGTGACCAATTTTCCCTCGACCTTTTTTCTTTCGACCATTTTTCGCTTTCCCCAAATTTCTGTCTCAAAGTGTTCTAATCTCCTATCTGTATATTTCTGAATCGAGCATATAATTAAAACTTCATCACAAAAGTATAAGGGCTAAGAAAAAGATACAAAATACGTGCCTATACACTATATAGATCAATCTGTGAATTAAAACGTTATTTTTATACCACTCTATTCTGTAAGTGATAAACGTAATATGCATAATGTTTATTCTTGTTACTCTCATTTCAAAATGAGACATACCAAAACCATACTTTTTTAACATGAATTTTATCGCTTCATACAAATAAGATTGTTACTTCATGTACTTAATTTAAACTAACAGCTCTTTGTTTTGCGATAAGTTGCAGGAAGCCAGAAAGTGAGCTGTGTCGTGCTGAGTTTCGCTCAAAAGAAAAAAGTCTGACAAAAATATTAAAAGATGCTTGAATAAAAAATGTTTCTTTGTGAGAAAGAAACAGTTGAATTTCTTTCAAGTAAAAGGTAAAGCTTCGTCGAAAAAATGCACAAGTCCAGTTATTGAAAGAACAATGAAAATTTTGGGATGGAATTGTGCCAAATTGCTCACAGAGAGTCTCAGTACATACATTACATGCAGTAAATTCTAGTACTCAGTACATACATTTACATATAAATGTATTTCTAAAGAAGAATTCGATAAAGCTTGAAAAACTGAAAAGATGCAAGAGTCCTCCAAGATTAAAATATGAAGACGTGAAGTTTCGAAACGAGAACCCGTTCTTTCAGAAACTAGTTTTAAAGCAACACATAAAACACTTTTTGAAGTTTTCAGGGCCCAATAATGTCCACTGACAAAAATTCAGACGTAGGCTCCGGGCTTGCTCAACCAAAGATGCAAAAGTGTTAACGTTTTGAGAAAACTCTAACTCTAAGGGAGGGTAAAAATAGTTTATCTGTTTTCTTCGTTTACAAACTGGCACATAACCTGAGAAAACTTTGCTTATTTTATGCAGTCATAAACTAACAATGTCGGAGTAAAGTTTACTCCGACATTGTCTAGCAGACAAGAAAGGCTAAAAAAGTTCATTTTCTAAACTGACAAAGAAAGCCTTTCGACTAGTAAAACCTGCTACAAAACTTTCTTTCGTGTAGTGACGCCATCTGTCTCTCTCTGAAATTTATAGAGCCGCTATGGCTGTGTTGTTAAGTTGTTTGGCACGTATCCTCAAGGTACTGTGTTCGAGCCTCGGCGCCACCAGACGTGAAATGACTCTGGGCAAGTCATTAACGATTATTTGCCTCGGATCACCCTTCCGATAGCATGCTGACTACGTTGTGACATACACCAGCCCCCATGGCTAGTATGTGGTTACTCAATGTGTACGGGGAGCTCAAGCAGTAGGCTGGCCTTCTGTCCAAAGCTACCGCTAGTAAGTTGTAGGGAAGATATCGGGCTTACGAAACTGTCTCCGGACAACATCCTATACCGCAAGGTCGCCGAAAGACGGGGTATTCTTCTTCTGGAATTTATAACATCAGTTAAATAAAGAATCATATAGTAAGAAAAAAGCCGGGTTGTTATCCTTTTATGCGAACCAATCAGACAAGACGATAAGCTCTTAGTCGTAACGTATCGTAACCCTTGTTTCGACCGTTTGTGAACAGAATGCGACAAATTGGTTGTTCAACAGCCTGGAGAAGCTAGTCAAAACAGAAAAAAGTAGAAAATATTTTTTAATCGTTAAACCATAGAGATATGACCCCTATATGCAACACGTCTAGAGTCAAGGGCCCAAGCGAATTATAGATGAGCGTTACTTTGTTCACTTTAATGCAATCTTCTAGTTTTTTATATTTTAATGATCCTATCGCTTGCAACACTTTATTCTCATTAGTCGTTCTCTATAAATCACTAAGTATTTTAAAACGGCGCGTAATTTATTATCAGACAGCTTCGTACTAGACACTCGATGTTTTTAATATCGATGATAAGTTGTCACCCATATTTTAATTATCGTAGTCAGATCCCAGAGAAAGCAGAACTGAGTCATCAAAAGCTAAAGTTCACTCGAAATGTCTCGATAATCACCCTTTTACATTGCTTATACCATATTTAACAGGGACGCGAGACCATAGGTCCAACAATTAAAATTTCTTTTTATCTTCATTTAGTAGAATGAATCAAGTTCTATCGAAGAAAGTATAAGCTGAAAATATATAATCTTTTACTTATAAACATAATATGTTTTATTGATCCTATGGTACAATTGGAGAAAGGACTACTATGCATATAACACATATAATTTGTTAATTTTTTAACGTGGCTTTTTCACCACTTTTTTAAAATGGCGAAAAGCCACGGTTTACCAATAGTATCATAATCACATAATAGCCCAAAAACATCATTTCGTTAATGACGGTCTGACTTTTTTTCGCATCCATTTACAGAAGAACTATAGGATGAGGGCATTAAAAATCGATAATACTTTTTTTTATAGTATAGAAACATGTTTCATTTACCTTTAAAACCAGTCACTTTGTAACTCATCGATATGCTGTACTTAATGGTCGGGACGAAATTCGGATTGTTTGTATGACCAACATTGATACTTGCCTTTCCAATGTCAATAAATCGACTCTCTCCGGCGAGGGCATAAGCCTTCCCAGCATTCCGCTCAAAACCAACAGCTAAATGAGCATTTGGTCCTATCTTTAGTCCACGTTTTAGAACAAATTCTTGAATACCAGTACGTTCCTGTATTTCATCAACTGGAATACGATATTTCTGTGTTACAATAAGAGCGAACGGTAAAACACCTTCACTAATAATATAGAGATAAATTTCTGCTAAACCAGCAGTTGGTGCTACAGCAAAATGTATTTGAACTGCTGTTACATCACCAGATATTTGCGGTACATCCAAGACATTGAACTGTACTATTGGACGATCATCAGGTATGACCACGGAGAGACTTTCTTTTGTAGTACCATATGTCATTTCTATAAAAAAAGATGAGGGTAGATAATATATTACTTTTTCTTTGGCATTATCAGATATTTTGAAAATATTTAGTTATATCAAAGAAAACTGCGGAAAAGTCAAAATTAATTAACTAGAGATACCTTGAAAAGTAGCAACGGTAAAACTGAATGTAAGACCAACCATAGTTTGAGAAATAAATGTGTATGTTCCCGGATTAAGAGTTGCTTTGTCCAACATCCATGAACTTCGGCCTCCATTAAACAATTCACCACCATCCGCCGAAACAAGACCGACACCTACGAATGATCCAACTGTCACGTTAAAGTGATATTTCGGAATAATAAATGTTTGATCACCCGGTTCTTCTTTTATTTGATCTACTGGAATTCGATACTTAGTTCTTATGGTATATTTGTATGAAATCTTTGTAGAAATAATATTATAAAGCCAAATTTCTGCTTTGTCTTTAGTTGGTGCAGTATAAAAATTCATTTGAGCGGATGCTACAAATCCATCTGTTTTTACCTGATCAGCAGTATTGAATACCGTTTTCCCGCTAGCATTAGCACGATCATGATTAATATCTGTTAGAGAGCCATGGGATATTGCTAAACTTAATAGAATGATAAAATACTATTATATCAAAACTACAAGCTAAAACACCGGAAGGACAAAATCTCATTCAAATGCCATTCTCAAGTAGACAGAGCCGTAGCCATGATTTTTGCGAAAGGGACGACTGATGTTTTCGACTTCAGAGATTTGGCAAAATCATCATTGATGAACTATGTGTTTATGAAGAAGATTAATAACGGACAAACTGTTGGGTCGTTCATCATCAATACTGTTTCCAATAAGGAATTTCCTCAAAAGTCCAGGCGGAGGACGGACCCTACAATTCCTCCTTGCTACGGTAGTAGAATAAGCTAATGTAAGATACCTTTCACTTACTTGTTGTAGTTTGAAAACTGAATGCTATCCCATTATTACGGGGAACAAATTGATGTACACCGTGCGCAACACTTGATTGATTCAGGTACATTCCTTTTCTGTTCGAAACACTATAGCAATCACCACTAGAACTACCAAAGCCAACGCCTAAAAACTCTTCAGCTTCCATCATAAGCGCGGCTTCAGGAAGAGGAAATCTTTGAATACCAGTTTTCCCCGCTATTTTATTAACAGGAATTTGATATGAACTTTTTATATTGTATCTATCTATAACATTTGTACGACTAATTATGTATAACCAAAGATTTGCATTTAGCGCACCACTCGGTGCATCACTAAAATTTATTTCAATTGTCGTTACAAATCCTTTGACTTTGACTGGATCATCAATATTAAAAACAGTGTGCATATGAGACCGACTTTTTATTCCACGATCGGTAGTACCATGTGTGATACCTATAAAAAAATTAAAATTTCCTCATAGAAAAAGCGCTTTGACAGCTGAAAACGTCCCCTCAGGTGCTACTGCATGTTCGAGTAGATAGAAAATTCATTCATAAAATCTTTCACTAGCTTTTTACTATAATAGAAAGTCTATAAGAATGAGAATTGATTACGAACTTGTACTGACGGTTAAAGTTTTTCTTCGAAGCATAGTTTTTGTAGCTGTTTAAATCAAAAAAACTGGACCAAGCCCAATTCCGTCACAATAAGAATATAACAATTTTAAATCAAATTCAAACGCTATACGTTTGTGCTTTCCTGGACACAGTCTGTCGGATGAAGGGAAAAAAGCAATCTAGTCGAAACTTCATCGAATTCTTCCTTCGTTACACGTTAAAATTACATATATGGTTCTTGATGACTTCTTTTATGGAACAGCTCTGCGCTTTTGTTTTCAAATTATTGAATGGGTGTAACTGTATTCACAAAAAAACATATCAACTTAAAGCGGTTTATTTCTTGAGGTGTTGACAATCTGAGACTAGTGGGGTTTTGTAGCTCATAGTCAACCGAGTGCATCGGCAGTAGTTTGGCTCCGACATATGGCCGACACTCCAGCAAAAAAAATAAAAATAAAATTTGCTGTATAATAAAGAAGAAATAAATAAAAATTAAGCGCTGACGAGTTTCGAACCTCGACACTCGCTTATCGTAAGCGTAGTATTTAATAAATAAGCAGTAGAATGATATATTATGTAAGAATAAAAAAGAGCGACATGTGGCTTTTTAGTTATTCAACTGTGTAAATACGTCAAAAGTTTTCTAGCCATAATTTCCTTTAGACCAAACTGCAATCTGTTTACTCGGCAATTGTCTTCGAGAACAGATCACAGGATAATAATAACGCAAGCAAGAGAAATTGCATTTTTCATGATCTCATATTCTTTCTGTTTACTATTCAAATAAAATGCAAAAGTAAAATTTTGCGCCTAAAAGTCAGGATTAGAACATTCGGAAGTCATTCTCACTGTTTGAGTTTCACTACCAAATCTTGACTGTTTTGGATAAAATAGATAGACTAATTGTTGGATAAGTAAAGAACAATACATCCTATTCGAGTAATTGTACCCTGTTTTACTAGGTCTTGTCTTCAAGAACAGAGTATAACACAAAATGAAGGCGGCTAACATCGCTATGAAGAGGAAGTAAGGACAAGAGATTGTATTTTTTCTACTTAAAACTGCCGATTTTGACTTTCACACAACGATATATCGTTGTAGCGATGTTAGCCGCCTTCATTTTGTATTATACTCTGTTCTCGAAGACAAGACCTAGTAAAACAGGGTACAATTACTCAAATAGGATGTATTGTTCTTTACTTATCCAACAATTAGTCTATCTATTTAATTCGAAGAAGTAGGGCTTTTGAAACAACTTTAAACCATTAGACTTTGCTCCATTTCTGCTAGAAGTCGGATTATAGTTGTAGCTAACCAGTAGGATAGCTTGGTGTTATCTCTTTTATGTTTATTTCAGGGTTAAAACACTGTATTCTTCGTGATTCTTTCAGTTAGAAGGTGATGTTTTTCTCTTTGTGTGATTTATATCATTCCAGACGTGCAAGAATCAAAGCATGCGCGATGAGAAGAATAACGAACTCGTTGTGTTTTTGTTCTTTATTTAAAGTAGAGAGTTGATATTCTCCTGTCATGTATTTATGTGGTCTGTATCTTTGTCTTTATAGACGAGTAGACATGCAACCCTACGATGAAAAAACGTTTCGTGTCTATGATAAAAAGAATCTCTCTATATATTCGTAACAGAAAACAGTTTGCCTTTCGTTATCTTTCTTCTTATATCGTTGTGTGAAAGTCAAAATCGGCAGTTTTAAGTAGAAAAAATACAATCTCTTGTCCTTACTTCCTCTTCATAGCGATGTTAGCCGCCT